GGTCGTCCTAGTCCTGGATGTGTCAAGAGGAAGAATCTCCGCAAAGGTACTACTAGTGCTGCTGCTGCAGAAGAAGATTAAGTGAACAAGAAGACCAAAGACAGGAAGAAAAACAATACGAAGAAGACCGAAAAAAGAAAGAAAACCAAGAAGAAGAAAACCGGAGACAAAAAGAAAAACAAGAAGAAGGAGATGCAAGACAAAGAGAAAAACGAGAAGAACAAGACCGGTTTTAGGAAAACTTGAAATTTCAGCGTGAATGGATGCAAACCGTGATCTCTGAAGAACAAACTAGACTCGAGAAAATTCTGGAAGTATAAAAGAATAAATTCACGAATGCAATGAAAGAAGTAGTTACGTGAAGAAGTTGGGAATATTCGTCACGAAGTTGGGAGTCTTCGTTACGAAGTCATGAGGTTCATCAGGAAGTTGGAAGTGTTGATCACGAGATTCTTCACGAAGTTGAAAATATTTGCCAAGAAATAAATACTGATGCAAGAAGATTTTAAAGTTGGAATGTAAATGGAGATCAGTGATATCTGCCTCGCCTGCGCACCTAGTTTTAAAGTTAAGCCACCACCATATGACGAACAGACATCATGGGCCATGTACAGATGTCAATCCGAGATTGATGCAATGGCTAATGGCATTGTAGCATTGCGTGGTTCTGCCTTGGATCTGTTAGAGACTCTTCCGCCAGGTTCCCAACAAAACTATGTTGCACTTGTAGATGCGTTAGAGCGTCGTTATGGAGATCAATATCGAAGGCAGCTTTACCAGGATTGTACCTGGTAAAACAAGGCAACAAAAAGCTGCAGAAAGCCTACAAGAATTTGAAAGCGACATCCGGCATATTGTTAATTCGGCCTAACCGGTAGAAGCAGCAGAAATGCGAGAACAACTAGCGGCCGGAAATTTTATATATGGAATTAGAGATATGGATGCTCATAACCAAACCATCGAGTAGCAGCGAAACTATATTCAAGTCCCTAGCAATCGAGGCGGCCTATAGGGCATTCCAACGAACTGTCAAAAATGGCGGCTGTCAAAAGTTAGCCAGAGCAGGCAAATGTTAAAGTGCGCAAAATATTGGTAAAATGCCTGCATTTTGTTGTGTAGTGAAATGAACTAGTAGGGAAAATGTGACAACGTAAAATTTTATAAGATACCATCGGAACTGAATCGAAAACATCCTGATAAAGAAAAACGAACAGATTAGAAAACAACGCTGGTTAAATGCATTCAAACATGAAGATTTAACTGGCAGTGAGATAAAATATTCTGTAGTTTCTTCGAGACATATGTATATTAGTACTTATTATCAAGTATTTATACTTTAGAGCAACTGAAGGTTTGTTTTGTTTGTTTGTGTCGCACTAACTTGAACTGAGTGCAAGCTATTTCAGGTTTCTAGCTTGTGGCGTCACCAGTTCAACTGATAACTGCTTTAAGAAGAATAAATGCTCTGACACCAACGAACGAAGTTTTTTTATTACCTACAGGGTGTCCCCGTTCAACTGGTCAAAAATGCTAGGGTATATAGAGGAACCATAGAGAAGTTATTTGAGATAGGACACCGTTGGTCGGAAGTGCGTCGTTTCTAAAATACATTTGGAGGGCTAATGCTAGGCTATTCAAACTTTCAGGGATTATTGATGTAGGATTGATATTTAAAAATTCTTATAATGCACCCCCATTTTCTACCTGAAGTCACAAAAAAAAAAAAAAAAAAATTGGAACAAATTGCTTTTTTTCAAATTTTATTTTTTATTTTTTTTTGGGATGGTTCCAGGTAGAAAATGGGGATGAATTATACGAATTTTCAAATATCATTCCTACATCAATAATCCCTGGAAATTTGAACAGCCTAGCATTAGCCCTTTAGATGATATGAAAGATGGTTGTTTAAATTTCAACACCCTGTATTTTGGGAACGACGCACTTCCGACCTTCGGTGTCCTATCTCAAATTACTTCTTTATAGTTCCTCTATATACCCTAGCATTTTTGACCAGTTGAAGGGGGACACCCTGTATATGATTTTTAATTTGTGAGGTAGATTATTATTATTTATATTCCGATTATTAACTATTTTATCATATCTGTATTTGAATTGTGGCAGATTTGGATAATTATGGATTTTTTTCTAATGGATGACGATGTCGAAAACGAATTTGTTTTATCAAGTAGTAAGGATACTCGAGAGGACTGTGACGTTGTTGACTGCCAGCCTTTCTCTTACAAAGGAATAATGGAGGAAACAGGGAACCGTGAACTGTGGCGTTTTTGACATTTAATTCTAGGCTGCCTTATGTTACTCCTCCTCGAAAGCAAGTGTAGGTTGAACATGAACTAAACAGTTTGGTACAAACTGCACTTCACAAACGAACGCCCCAAAGCAGGAAGTGCTGCTCCGAATAACACAAACAAACAAACCCTGAGCAACTATTACTAAACAATGTAGGTATAGAATTTTTAATACCTATTTAGAAGTACCAGTCGTTCTAGTGACTAAACGTACGTCCGCTTCTTGAACACACAAATAAAATTAGCTTAGGAATTTCCTATTTGTATATAAAATTGACGTATTAACAATCGAAGTTCGTTTTTGTTGGTAATTTTTTGTTTCACCTGATTCGTGATTAATAAATAAGGATGAAATTATTCTAAATGGGTATTAAAAATACTGTATATTAAAATGACCTGTGTTCGATTTTGTGATCTTGTGTGATACAATCGAATTGTGTGCCCTGACTATTTTTTTTTTGTTGGAATGCCCTATAAGATTTCCGAAGCAAAGATGAGAGCTGAGTCGATACATGAGGAAAAAGGGCCAATGGGAGAAATTAATTGCACGATAATGAAGGACTTTCTAGAAGAGTTACGGAAGGCTGTTATCAGAATCAAACTGGGAAACTTAAAAGGAAGTATTAAATGTTAATGTTACCGCTGCGGAAGGACTTGCCTTTTTAAGCTTGATTGTACGGTACGGTTGAGATTCTCTTTCCTTCTAATGACTTAGCCTTCAATTGGAAACTTGGCCCTCAAATCTCAATGTTACCGCAGTGGAAGAAGAGGATATTTCAAACGTGACTGCAAAGAACAACCAAGATCTCGGATCTCGCCCTCGTTCTGATGACTGTCAACCTTCGATTGAGAATCTGCAACATGCAACGGTACGATTTTCCCCACAAAAATCGCTTTGGCAGTCTAACAACGAAGATGCCTTATCTAACCGAGAATGCCCAGATCAAGACAATCAGCCATATGAATAAAGTGTAGCAAGCTTTTACTCTATCTCCATCTCTTTTTGATGCATTAAAGCTGAATATGTTTATCTCAAAATATTTAAGTAAAAGTATTTGCTTCTGTTTTATTCACATGAGCCAATAACTGCCTCCAGATTTGATCAGGGAGAAAGTTTTCGTGTTAAGTTATAAGTGTTAGAAGCTTTCGATTTGATGCGGATCGAGAGAAGAGTCGCGCACAGCTGGGAAGTGAATAATTTTTCGACATTAAGGAAGCCAAGATAGATCAACAAAATGTAGAAAAGAAAAAGCCGGCAAGCGAAGAAATAAAGACCAGGAGCAACAATATTGGTGAATTACTACTACTGGTCATCCAGAAGGTCAAAATTATTCCTCAAACGGCCGCTCTGCTGATTACCATAAAGAGGAGTACGCAGGAATTGTAGTAGGTAGATTGACAGTCAATAGTGGACAGGCAGCCATTCTTCTAGTATCCATGAAGTCAATCCAAGGAAAGAAGAGCCACGCAGACATGAGGGTAGTTCAGGAAAGTCAGGAGGACCGAGTGGTATAAGGCGCTGAGTTCAGGTTGCAGTCCACTTGAGATGGAATCATTATGGATCTGAATGGCGGTAAGTATAGGCATACAAGATAAGGTGTTGCATCTTGACAGTCAGATCTGAGAGATTTGAGAGGGGAAATTCGTGTTTCCGGAAATTCTATTATTTTTGATTAGATGTTTTTCTAGATAGATCCGCAGTGCGTTTCCGACTATAAATAGTAGTAGGTAGATATAGCAGAGTCACTCTTATAAGAGCTTTGTTGAAGTCAGTCTAAATGAGAGCCTAGCTTTGAGTAGTTTTAATTTGGTGTTTGTCGAGTACATTCCGATAAGTGATAAGTAAATTTTCATAAAGTCAATTTGTTCAATAAACGTGGTTAATGTTTGTGGAGTGAGCTTTGGTGGACCCGGAATCAGTGACAATATAGTCAACCTAATTTCTTAGTATGAATAAGTTATTTAGTTCGATAGATGTCCATTAGTTGTATATTACCAGATACCCATTCGAAACAACGACATTCTTCTGTCGAAAAAAAAGCCTATGTTATAGTGGAAGCGTTTCGTGAATGTAAACATTTTCTGATCAGACGCTCCTTTAAACTCGTAAATGATCAAAAACCGGTCGCTTTTATGTTTAATTCTCTACTCTAAATAATTCTGAGATCAGTTGTAAATCAAAATATCGTGATAGATACTTTCCTCTGATTTTATCTTTTTCTAGTAACAAAACACTTTATAATCTAATTCTTTCGGTCAGCCTGGCATTATAATACTACATCACTGGGGCCGATGTTGCAATTTAGTTATCGCATTAGATGACATCAAGAGTATCTTAGCTTAGCGCCCTCTGTCCCGTACGTCAAATCAAGATTTTATTGGAATCAAAGGACCAGCATAAAGCTACTGCCCCTTCCGAAAAAATTAATGTAGATTTGTTTTAAGCTCGATGCGTTGACATCTGAGAACCAAAACCGCTGATATATAAAAAGTTGGTAAAGTTTCTTTAATAATATCTATGATATCCAATGAAATGCAATATTTAGTTACTTGCGCTAATTTTTCACTACTGTTTCCCCCATACATTACTTCTCCGCTATATCATGAGAGAACGTCCTTGTACCTTCTATTAAAAAAGCTGATTGGCTTCCACTGATTTGGAAAATTTTCTTGTGAAATTTTACATACACTTACTTCTTTTATCAAAACATCCGGATTTAATGGCACTAAAGTCAACACTGGAGGATTTTCACAAACATCATAAATCTCCTTCTCCGCTCCTTCCCTACTTCTGTCTTTCAAAAACGTGTACAAATGCGAATAAAACTGCCGTCCATCATAGTTCAAAACACTAGCTCGCTTTTCCAAAAACTCTTTCAATATTCGCAGAAAATCGCTAATGGAAATTTGCTTGAGCAAGTTGATGTCTTCTAAAATTTGAAATGCATTCGAACCGCATAGTTTGTCGTAGATCCAAGAGATGTCCGTGAGGTAAGTTGACGTCTCCAAGCCAAGGTTCAAGTGGTGGTAGTGAAATGGAAGTTCATCAAGTTTTCGTCGGTTGTAGCTAGAAATAGAGGTTGAATGAATAAATTATAACATGTACTGGCAAAGGAAAATACAATTTACACTCAAGAATGTAATTTTGTAACATAAAACGCTATGCATTCTACAAAGGTTCCCGCAAAATTCATCTCAGAAGTGAAAACAAAACTTTTCCTCTCAACATTTATTATATTTATATGATGAATTTCAATTTCACTCTGCGAGGTGGACTACCCTTTCAATATATTATATGTATTGAAAGTTCCAATTTTATTAATCAGGAATTGGGTTCAGGTGGATCATTTTGACTCTCATAAGGTACCTACCCAAATAATAATTTTAAAAGCACAAAAACATTACAAAAATAATTCGTACGAACTTTTACGGAAGTGGGCAATTCTGTTACAAGTTTACAATCCTTGGATCAGATCACGCTGTAAGATCAGCAAGTGGTGCATCGAAACCTAATTAAGGACGACAAATGCACATCTGGCTAATCTTACACTGTGGTCTTACTCAGTCTTACCTTAGTCAATGATAAAAATGGATATTAAGGCATAGGTAGGTACTTACGGATTAGAGGCACTTTTCCAAGACGTAGGTAAATTCAGCGGTATTTACAGCAAATTGCACAGAAAGTTATAACAAAAACACTAAAAACTTTGAAAACACGTTCAAAGAAAAGTCAAAAAACATGCGATAAATAAAATAAACTATAAAAACAAGCACTTTATTAAATTATATTTACATGCACAAAATAAGAAATCTATGTACAATATTTGAAGTTTTGAGATATCAATACACAAGGCTGGATTTCTGTTCTTAGGAACACTCAAAGTAGAAAAATTGAGTCATTTTACTATATATGAAACAAAGCTGTCAAAATGGATTATATTTTTATTTAATTGTGTTATTTTAACCTTTCGCGTTTTAAAGGCTTAGGTTCTTGTGCCCTAAAAAAACCCAGCACAGTCAAAACATAAAAAAAAAAACAATTGCGAAACACTAAAGTGTAAGAAAATCCCAAAAAAATGCAAACAATCATCAATCCAACAATACCATTTTCCAAAGTTATTCTCCTGAGTCGCTACACGAGCTTGCAAATTTGTCGAATTTTCCTGACACCATTTGCCCTGCAAAAGCAACCAATTACCTTCGAAAACCTCAAAATACCATTTCTTACATTGTAATAGTCGTATAGCGCCTGATGTGCCCAATTTTTAGAGTTACTATACCGTTTAGTTACGGCTTTTCTCAATAGATCGTCTTTCCATTGGATGCCTAACATGCCACCACTGAGTGACCATATTAAAAATGGAGCTAGGTGCTTTATGAGTCTTGGCCATGCTAGACATGCTGGTGCCCAGGGAACTGAAAGAAAATAATTATTTATAATAATATCCATAATACTTTCTTAGTTCCAGAAATGGTATGAATCAAAATGATTGGAACTACATAATATTAAAATAAATATGTATTATCTGCTTAGGTAATCCATGTATTCCTCACCATAAGTCGTCGTACTATGAAAGCTCTCATCGAAAGCTAACAAGTCCAACATTTCCGAATCCGTAACACCATGTTTGCTGCACGTAATCAAAGATAAAGCATGCTGTACTTGAACAGTTCCAACAATACTTTCCAATTCTTCTAGCATAAAGTCTAGTTGATTCGAAACTTTGCCTTTCGGCTTGATTTCGTGGTCCTTATCCACCCACCAAGAAGTTTGCCAAGCTAAAACCTGAATTAAAATCCATAGATATCAAATTATATAAGGCGCATCCAAAGTATATAACGTAATTTTTTTATTATAAAGAAAAATGAATTCAAAACTTCGTTGCATAATTTTTTTATAAAATCTGAACCCTCCTTATCTGAAATTTCTAGAAGAGAAGTGTCTAGACAATTACAGAAGTTTGAATTATTGATACGCGGTATATATTGTAAACTTTAATTTCATCTTGAAGCTTATTTTCAATATCTCTCTCTAAACTCATCTCTTTTTTAATGGGTTTAGAGGCATCAGGCATCAACACTTTTCAGACGCGATAAACTCAGAAACTAATAGTTTATCATCAGTATCTATAACAGATTTTATTTCAACTTTGGGTTGCTCTTGTATTATATAAATAAATGCAATGTTTTATATCTTTATATTCTTGTTCAAATTTCTAAATAGTATCTTCAGCTGTATTTTCAACACATTTTATGGTTAAATTGCTCTCTATCTGTCGCTACTCAGAATAGTTCCACTCCCAGTCCGGTCCAATTTCTAATGTTTCGTAGCCATGACAGCTTTTTGCGACCTATCCATCTTCTGCCCTCAACCTTTCCATGGATGATCAGGCGAGGGATGTGATATTTGGTGCCTCGCATTATATGCCCGAAATAACTAACCTTTCTTATTTTTATGTTCAGTGTTTTAAGTTCTCGGTCCTTATTCAGCTGTCTTATAGTACCTCTTTATTGCTGGTATGTGCGGTCCAAGGCATTTTGAGGATTCTCCGATAGCACCACATTTCAAAAGCTTCTATTTTGTTCATGGTGTCAGCTTTATGCGCCCATGTCCCACATCCGTACAAGAGAATGCTCCATACGTAACAGCTGAGTGTTCTCAACCGCGTCTGGACTGTGAGGTTTCTATTGGTAAGAGTTGGTTTCCATTTATTAAATGCCCCACGTGCCATTTTCATCCTCGCTTTTACCTCTTCGTCGCACGTAGCTTCACTGTTTAGCCAGCTGCCCAAGTATTTGAAATGTGGAACTATATAGTTCAATGTTGTGTCGGTTGATTGTAATCGGATGGAGTTGGTTCGATATTTATTTTACCTACGGTCATCCATTTCGTTTTCTTGATGTTTATATCAATACCCCATCTTTGGCTAGCCTCATGCACTCTATCCAGCAGTATTTGCAAGTCTTCCATGTTCCCCGCAATGATGGCAGTGTCATCTGCGTATATTACGTTGTTTATTATTTCGCCTCCTATCTTTACTCCTTCTGCCCTGTCATGTAAAGCCCCACGAAATATGTTCTCTGAATAGAGGTTGAACAACGGTGACAGAACATATCCTCGTCTCACGCCGCTTTTTATTGCTATTTCATCTGTAACGCTGTCATCCAGCCCGCCTACGGCTGTTTGACTACGATACAGGTTTATCAAAAAGCGCATATATATCATAATAGTCTAGTCAATAAAACATATAGATATTTTTTCGAAACTCACAGCTCTTCTGCAATAATCTCCTCATGCAGAAAAGGGCTTCACGCGTTCCCAGCCCGCTGTGGAATACAAATTGTTCCCTGCTAATATTGTGTTCACGGTGTATGTTCTATTGAGAAGTATCTTTAGGAATATTTTTGAATGTGACTCATTAGGCTAATTAGTCGGAAGTCATTACATCTATTAGCTTTGTTGGTTTTGGGTAAGGCGATAAAGATCGATTTCTGCCAGTCGTCGGGAAGTTTCCCATTTTGATAAACCTGGTTGAAGAATAGATATGCCTTCGTCATTAGACATTTGCAAGGGCCCTTTGATTTTTGTTAATTTTTCTCTAAAATGCCTGTTTCAACCAATTCAGCTCCCAATGCTTCTTTAACTTTATCTTTCAGAAATGGCTTTATACTCTTTCTCAACGTTGGCTCCATCTTCTTTTTTTTTGTTAGTATCTCCCCAAATATCTACTAGATTCAGCTGGAAAAGTATTAAAAGGATCATGTGAAGGAGATGGTGAAGATTACCCTGGTAATTCCTTAGGTTCTGGAGTGGATTTTTTTCAATTTGAGCTTCTTTATTTGGATTTATTTGAAACTTTTCTGAATACAACTACAGGGACATCGATATTTACTGAAGTAGTTCAGATAAAGATGAGTCGATGTGAGAATATTCAGATAATTTTGGCTTGTAACACTGTAGTAGAAATCATTTTTCAAAAAAAATCTTCTGCAGCTTCAATAATACTTTCGCTTCTTCAAAGGAGAACCAGGAAAACTACAATTAGTCAACACAGAGGGGCGGATGTTGGCAAGTTTAGCTCCCAGAATCATATCCATCAAATTGCTAGGAAAGACAGTTCAACTATTGAAACAAAAATTCATCAGAAGAATATCGTCATAAAAGTCGACACAGGCGCAGTCGTATCTCTACCAAATTCCAACATCATCAAAAAGTTCAACGCAAAGCCACTTTCAAGGGCAGTCATCCTGCGCACAGTGACAGGAGAGTCCGCAAAGTGCATGCAGAAACAGAAATCGATCTGAGATTAGGAAATATCAAGATCTGTAACATAGGGCTAATTGCTGATATAGAGGACAAGCTTATTTTGGGAATGGACTATCAGTCAACATGGTTTTGCATTCAACAACCAGCTCAACATCCTGAAATTTAGCACAGAAGAGTTTGTACTGTCTAAAGTCTGTCACCGTAAAAATACAAAAACTGTGAAAATAAACGACAACACCACAATTATATGTGGACAGTCGACAGTTGAAGACTAGGAGCTACGTTGAACTTGCACAACCACACTAAACTTACAATAAATACCTCGTCAGAGAAACTTTGGTAAACTGACAAGAAATTATACCAGTCCGAATAGCCACAACTGTGCTGTAACGACAGCTCAGTAATGTTGGTTGAGTTTAGTGGACTGTAATTTAATAATCTTCTTTTAATTTGAAGATACAAAGATCGCGGAATCACTTTTTCCAGTGTTAAATAATATATGAATTTTTTATTGAGAAAAATCCCGTTATTCGGATTGGTAATTGACCTCAACAATATAAAGCAGTGATACAGCCTAATAAAAGAGGGACTTACCGAAGTGTCGTCTATTTTCCTCCTCTAGGTGCACCTAGCCAAATGAGCTTTTGCGGCGAAAGACTTAGGGAATTTTCCAGCACTTAATTATGGGCACTTTTCCGATTTGCGGAGTTGATAGACCGAAGTATAATAATTATTCACTTTCAATTCCGGTTGCGAATTTTGTATTATTTAAATTATGGTAATTTACCGACTGATCGCGTGCATATCGCGTGCATGGTCGATATCAGAGAGAGAGTTATCAGTGTTTTAAAACCAGTACAGTTCCTGGGCAATTGACTCGCACAGGCGCATAAAATCTTCACCCTCTGGTAAAACCGCATCACTACATAGAATAAATGAATCCTTAACAGTTAACTTTAAAAAATAGTGATACAATAGAACATTCATATATAGCTCCAAAGTGTGACAAATCAAATTTTTACTTATTTTATAACCAAAAAACCCCTATAATTTAAACACTGATGAGACTCAAGCATTTGTTTAACTAAATCTAAAAAATAAAAATTAAAATTAAAATCAAGAAGTTCAGGGGAACTGAACAACAACACTATTAAAATCAACAGATATCATAACCACCTACGAGCCTGTCAAAGATTTCAATGTGTGAAGCTAAAGAACATCAAGGAAATTATAGGAAATAAATCACCCAGCGACATTCTAGGACAATTCGAAACATTTTGGTTGGCAACATCTTTCCTACAGAACTAAAGAAGGGTCAACAGTTCCTTTGTGAGAGCAAGAATATCTTTGAGGCTAAAAATGGCGAAACTGGTAAGAAGAATATCAATATCATCAAGCATGAAATCAATACTGACAGACTTGGAATCTGACACTATGCTTGCAGAGGGATGTTGTTAAAGAGTCTTCAAGTTTGTGGTCATCGGCAACTATACTAATAACAAAGAAAGATAGATCTACCAGATTTTGCGTCGATTACAGAAAGCCTAATGATGTCACGAAGAAAGACAACTACCCATTACCCAGAATTGACGATATCCTTACGACATTGGCAGACTCAAATTGGTTTTCTGTAATGCCTTTTGGACTCTGTAACGCCCCCGCTACTTTTGAGTTGTTGCTTGTTGGAAACAGTACTACAAGGACTTATGTGGAAAGTATGCCTTGTCTGTAACGTTTTCAATTTCTTGGCTAATAAGCTACCTTGTTTTGCCATACTGGATATGATTCCATATAGAGCTACAATGAAATAAATGAATAAACAACTATCTTTTTTGTGCCCAGATTTTGTTACCTTGAGTGCTGCCTTCTACTAGAAGTTTTTTTGGTTCAGGTTTGCAAGTTTGGTTAATTGATCTAGGAAGGTTTGATTCAGTACGGCAGGGCCCGCTGTTATTGATTAGAATCTTAGGAAAAGGAGTTAGTACCATCACCATCTCTGTTTGCAAATCCAATCAATAATCTGAGGTTATGATAATAATTGTTGTTTTTTTGTACTCTTTGACTTTTCATTTCCATCATGTCATTGAACAGCTGTTTTGTCTAGGCGTTTTCTTTAGACCTGTTCTACCTTTTGATATATGTTCTATAGGCACTTTTCAACATTCACCAGTCATTTTTTACACAACCGATTCTCAGTTCGTACTTTTGGGGTGAAACTGAACACGTCCTTTTCTATAATTTTCTTCAATGTCAAAATTAGAAGTTTGACAAATGAAAGTCTTCTTCCGAAATCTAAATTCTAAATGAAGAATCTGCCCTTTTGATCTGCGACCTCACGCTGAGTAGTCGTCCGGTCTCGGGCCTCGGCCCTAATTGTTTTGGGGCGAGACTTTTTGGAATTTTGTGCCAGGGAGCTCAAGTTTTAGACTAATTTCTTGCTGATAATTGTCTAGAGTCGTCCCGTGGTCATTTTTGGATTCTGTTTCGGTAAGTTTGAGATTTTCTTCAGGAAATATTAACCTACAACACGTGTTCCATTTTTTAATAGGACTGTTCCGAGCAGCATTTGGAAGTTTAAGACTTCACCTTTGGTCCAGAGTATCCCTCAATTTGAGGTAAGATTATTTCTAATATTTGGGGCTCGATTTGTTTTTTTATACGAACATCGTTATAGGGTCCTAGTCTCAGGCTATAGTTGGACAATCCTACTCCTAGTCTCAGGCTATAGTTGGACAATCCTACTCCTACTCCTAGTGCTAGGCTGTAGCTAGACAGTCTTAGGCTATGGTTGGACAGTTGCTGGGCTGTATTTAGAGAGATTCTAGACTGGATCTAGATTGCTCTCAGTTGGGGCTTTGGTAGCCTTTCTTCAGCAACTCTATTGGTACCGCTCAGCTAGAACCACATTGAGTTCTACGTTACAGATACCACGTGGATAGTACTCATGACTCACTTACCATACCTTAGCCTATCTATAGTGAGACCAAACCTGTAGATAATCTCACTTTGGAAACTTCTGGATTTTCACATACATTTCACTTGTATACATGTAAGTTGCACTTTTACTATATAGGCAAATCTTATGTAAATCACTTGATACTGAATTAGGTTCGGTAAGTGCCCCTTAAATGAAATTCTAGAATTTTACCCTGAGGTTGCCCTAGCAATAACGTTCACCTTTCTGTGTTAAATTTGCCTGTTAGGTACAAGCCTAATCCTAAACACCTTTTTTAATAACTTCGTGGCTACTTATTGGCGCAATAGTTAAGTCCTAATTACTTGGTGGCTACACTTTTTGGCGCCTTATTATTATTGTTATTATTTTTTAATAAAGAAAGCCAGATACATTATTGTACCTAATTAGTTGTTTTATTGTTAAGCGCTCCAATTGTACAAGTTTTGTTATAACATCAATAAGTAATCTTCCTAGTTAAGTCACATTTAACTTGGTGGCGCCCAAAGGGAAGATGTATACAAGGAACCCATAGACCCATGGCCTCCGGACTGATGCTGACTAGCCGTATGCAGTATAATTAGGCAAATGCCAAAATGAGTACGTTATATGTCTACCTGGATGATGTGTTAGTGATGAGAAAAACCTTCCATGAGCACCTACGAAACTACAAAAAGTATTTACTCGTATCCGTAAGGCAAACCTCCGATTAAATTACAAGAAATGTTCACTCTCCCAACAGCGCGTTGATTTTTTTGGCCACGTAGTTTCATCCGGAGGAATTCATACTGACGAAAGAAAAATCCAAGCAATTCGTGAATGCCCTTGACCTCGAGACAAACATGAACTCAGAAGTTTTCCTGGGCTTTATACATACTACAGACGATTTGTAGAGAGATTTGTCAAGGTAGCAACGCCGTTACATAAACTTGCTGAAGAAAAAGCTATTTTTGATTGGACTACCGGCTGATATAGCTTTTGGGAGGCAGCTCTATGTTCCAGTCCTATATTAGGCTACCTACAGTGTGAAGGAGTTCCTATTAAAAGCCTCCGATTTGAAACTGATCAAAAATGGAATTCTGAACGGCTTAGCATTATCAATTACAAGATAGTGACATCGAGCCATTTTTTGAATCTAAGGGAATTCGAAAGATCCAGACCAACTTAGCAAAAAATATCACCAAGAAGCTTAACCTTCAAGATGCTGTGGACTTAGTGAGACTCCCTGCTAGTCAAAAATGGTTCACTGAAACGAGCCTGGGAGAATGCTGATAGTAAAATCATCAAAACGCAATTCGTCGTGCCTAAGAAAAAAGTTTGTTCGAATTTTAGAAGAAGTTCGCAATGGGACATTCGGAGCTCACTTGGGAGTCAACAAGACTTTGAACAAGATCCGTGACAGATTCTATTGGGTGAACAATTACCAGGATGTCAAAACATCGTACTGACATGTGTGACATGCGCGCATGCGCCAGTAAGTCAAGGACTCAAAACACGATCTAAGGATTAATAAATGAAGCAGTAAAGCGTAGGGATGCCTTTCGAGCGAATGGCAATAGACGTAACCGGTCTATTTCCTACTACGCGGAGTGACAACAAATACATCTTGGTTGACATGGATTATTTCAGCAAGTGGCCAAAGGTTTTCGCTATTCGAAATCAAGAAGCATCTATATAGTTGCAAAAGTCTTCGTCAATATTGTTTTTACTAGATTTGGAATCCCATCGAAGAAAGAAACGTAGATCTCCGAAGCTAACACCAGTATGGGAAGGCCAGTACACAATTATAGAGATGAAACGACCTGGTGTATCGAATCCAACGCGGCCCCAAAGGTAAGGTGAAGGTGGTGCACCTTGACCGGTAGAAGGCGTATCACGAGAATAAATGATCAGATTGGGACAATCTGATCTAGAAGGGAGGCAGTTTTACGAAAATTCATCGACACTCCAATACTTTTCAAACAGGTACTTATTGTCCTTCTTTGCATTTTCAACTGCATCTTCAGTATCTTCACAATATTTTGGGCTGCCTGAATACTTCTTTTGTTTCTGAAATAGCCTTTCCGAACAAAACAGGAAATAAACCAATGTGGCCTTATCTGCAAAAGGTATCTTCACGAAGTCTCAGCCTCCGACGGTATGAAACAGCAGAGAAAGCCCTTTAATTTACTTATTGATCAACACCTGTATATCTAATATATAATTTTCGACAATGGAATTTAACGTTGACGGAATAATCTAGCGAATTACGGATCGGCTTTCATCGGGAATTCCTAATAGATAGGTGTCTAGACAATTAGAAATTACAGAAGTTTCTATTGAAACTGGTATATACAGGGTGGTCCATACAATATCGACGCGCGTTTTCGAAAAAAAAAAGTTCAAACAAAAGTTATATGGTGTCATGGGGGAAAGAAAATCATAGCAACGATTTTTGACTGTCCAACTTGTATTTGCACTTTTTTTTGAAAAACGCGCCATTTTCGAGATATTAGACTATCTCAAGTTAAATGAACTTCCCTGTATATTGTAAACTTTAATTTCAGCTTGAAGCTGATCTTTTTCTGAACTTTTCTTTTTCTATATTTTTAAAGGCATCAACATTTTAGTCAAATCCAATAAAGCCAGAATTTATCAATTCATCAATTGCTGCTAAAACGGGATTCGTTTCAACTTTCTCGGTTGCTTTTATAATATCCTGGATGCGATCTTTTAAATCTTTATATTCTTGTTTACCAGAATCTGCACAGCTCTATTTTCATAACATTTGCTTAGTTAATCAAGTGTGGATTACCTCGATTTAGCTAAATAAGGATCAATATGATCATATACTCATACTTGGAGTAAATGCTGAAGACTATCCTGCTGAGCTAATTCCATGGGTTCTGGAGTAGATATTCCAGCTAAAGCAGGAAATTGTTCTGATAGCTTACTGATCTCAAGTGGAGCTTCTTCATTTGTATTTAGAGCTACAACGTTTGATTCTGAAGATTTTCTAGATACAGCTAAAGACGCATCAATGTTCACTGAAGTATGCACTAACTGGGTTCTGTAGTAAATTTTCCAGGTAGAGTTGAATATGTATCACTATGATTTTCTGCAGATAATATATCTAAATCCAATACTACATCTTTTTTTACATCTCCAACTGCATCATAGAATATAGAGTTCAACTGAGGCTTAAAGAGTCTTTCTTAATTACTGCAACGGCTTTTATGGGCTCTGATGTAGATATTTCAAAGATGGAGATGCATCAATCCAATATCAAATCTTCGCCATCCTTCTTTTTGCAACTCCGTTTCTACCCATTTTTTAGAATCTTACGTAATATCTGTGCTACCATCAGTTCTTTGGGTTCTGAAGTGACTTTGGCAAAAAAGATAGACGAGTAAGTCGTGAATTATTGAGTTGATCAGCTTCCAGTTTTGTGAATAGTTAAGCTTAATTCAAGTGATTCGAATTGTTATAGTTCTATATAGTTTCGTCCCCATTTTTGTCTTGTTGTATTGAATAAAGTCTATTGAAAAGTAATCTCACTTCTCTGCGAACCCATCAAAACATTCCAAATAAAAATAAAAAGTAAGGTAAACTCAACTCTAACAAAAAAAGTTTATCATTCAATCTCTGACAAACTTTCAAAATTGTTTTTGCTTACACGAACCAAAGGCGTATTTTGAAAACAATAAACCGACGTATGTTTATTAATATTTTACTTTTTTAAGACTAAAGTTGGCTTTTGACGATACACCTTTTTTATCCTTTTTTAAGACTTCATATAACTTTGATTTCAAGTTTAATTAATGTTCAATATATTCTGCACAAGCCAGATAACAAATTTTGAAAACTTTCTTTAATCTGTACATCTTATACCCTTACCTTGGCGTAAAGTGGTACAGTGCATTCCTGCACAGATTTAAGTACACAGTCTTGAATTTTCGAATTAATACTATGATTATATTGCATTACGCTGGACATAAGAATATTTTTTGCCTCGGCTTGTCCTAGAAGCGGCATTGTGATGTAACAAGTATCTGGGAGTCTAGATTTCAGATCATCGTACATCTGGCTTCCTAAAAATATTAGATTTAAGTCCAAAAATCGTTATTATTGATTTGTGTTGGGTATACCTTCGGTTACTGAGATAATTAGTTTGATGTTATCTGGTAGTTTAGAAGGAATCCACTTAGTATTTTTGGAACTATATTCTCTAACTTGATCCAAACCGTCTAAAATGATCACCATAGGTCGTTGCGGGCTACTTGCTGTCAGTAAATTAGGGAGGATTTTTTGATATTCTTCTATACTCTGTAAGGAATGAATTTCAATAATCTGGCTCAAAATTTCAATTAAGACTGTTTCAACAAAAACTGCGAAACCAATAAAGACAATAATCGATGACTAAGCTGTATTTATTTCCAAAGTAGACTGGAGTCGAGTAAGAGCACATTTAAATCCTAATTTTTACTATTGAGGAAAGGATTTTCCATGAAAAATTAAATACCCTATTATTTCCATTCTATACTTGAATTGAGTTTTCTCTAACTGGCTAATAATTATTATTCTAAGTTTCTCATTGCTTTGAAGTATTTAATACCAACTTAGCTTTCCTTAATAAAATTAATAAAACTTAGGAGTTGGAGTTGATCTTGAACTCTGTTAATTTCAATTTTGGTTCTAATTACATTTCGCTCTAGAAATGTGACGTGTCTAAATGATTAATTATTATCAAATCCATCATTGATCTCTGCGTGAGAACTTCTCAAATTTAATTTTGAGTTTCTTTCTAGCTACACATAATTTAAGCCGTGTCTATCTTGGAAATAAATTGATAAATAGAACTGGTACTCACATGATCACAAAAACACTTGTGTCCAAAAGCCAATATCGAACACTGATTGGTTATGGAGCTCAGTAGCTGTTCGATAGTGTTGCTATGTGCGCTGATACCCACAAATCTGACAATAAGGAATGCTTCTGGTACTTTATTTGGACAATGGACAGCTATTCTTGCTAGTAAGGTTGTTTTACCGCAACCGCTCGGTCCTACTAGAATCAACGGATTGGATTTGTCGCTTGTGATGTATCTAAATAAATACAAGAAAAGATAAAAAGAAATGAAATATTCTATACACACACATACAAATAGGGGAATTGAATCTCATTTAATGCACAACTCCCAAAGTATCCTTGACATAGCTTATTGTCAAATAACTTATAAGTACATTCTTGAAGATCATATTAACTTCAAATACTTCAATACTAATTACTTAATTATTTGAGATACCTATATACTTACGATTGAATCTCCTCAATGGTTTTCTCCCTATTAATGCTGCATTGCGAAGCCTTTTGACAAAAATAAGTCTGCTGATTCAATTCCTCAAACAAGCTAGCCTCGATGCCATAACTAGGCTTGATCATGGTTTTGTTGGTATGCTCATCCATAATAGAGTCGATAGTCTCTTGCAAATGTTTCTGAATATGAGTTATAACCGTAGAAACGTAGTCTTTGTGCTCGGGAATGTCTAAGTTTGGACCAGTGTCTGAATATTTCACTTGGATACGGACTATGTGTTTTTCGGCGAGTTGGTCCTGAAAAACAATGACTTGTTTTATAAGTAATTCAAAGTTTTAGTGCAAAAAAATCTAGGAATAAATATTCAAACCGCATCTTGCTACGTTGGTCCGTTTTCATGTTAGGGCAGTTTAAAGTTACAACTAGGTATTTGTGACGTCACACTGGATTATCAAGCACAGTACATATTAACACGTGAGTTACATGGAAGATACCGAGTATTCACTTTCCCTGCTGACTTCAACTTAATATTGTTATGAAAGGTTTTCAGTTTAGATTTTCAGGTAGTCAGTTGATAGTATTCAATTTATAATTGTATTCTTATTTTTATCCAAATATTATTATCAAGTTGAAATAAAGTTTTTTAAAAAGTAATTCTCGGATATCGACTTGTTAACTGGCGCAGTCGTGCAGATATTTTTCGGTACGGTTTCGGCAAGAATTTGGACCGTTAACGCGAAAAATTAGGACTAGCTCTAAGTTTGATGGCTGTGTGGACTGTGTATAGTGGCTAATAATCTAAAATCGGCTAATACTACCAAAACACCAGTGCAAAATTGGACCAAATCACCAATTTTCCCGACGACAAAGACGTTGTGTGAGAAAAATCGCTCGCCAAAAAAACTTTGACCTTATATGTTACAATAAGTGATTTAAACATTAAACATCATTTCTCGCAAGAACAAGCAGTCTTTGGGAGGACCGGCATGCACGGAGGTAAGTAACACCAATTTGGCTCACGTTCGCAAATTTGAATGTAACACCCGATATCGCAACGGAGAGTTTCTTTATCGGGTGTTACTTACCCTAGACTCCTAGACAGATTTGCATTCACATAATGTTAAAAAGTAATGCCTTTATTAGATACATAGTATAGGTAGATATAATATTATTAGTTTTTTATGTTTCAAACTTTCTGTATTTTATTTATTCGCTCGTTAATTCTTGCAGATCCTACTTTTTGTATTTCCTTTTGGTATCATGTATACATAAATTCAGTAAAATGTAATGGCTTTTCGAAAGTATCTATGTTCCTTGTTGACCTGGTATGAATGTCACCAAGCCTCACCAATAGTTCGGAGAGATATTCTGGCCAATTGTTCTAAATAATATTTTGTATCAAAACTGCGAAATGTAAAAATCTTCTTTCCTTCATCTTGAGCATTTCACTGTCAGTAATGTAAAGAGTTAACATGTTCTCGTTTACGTTCAATATATATCGTACAATTATTCTGAATCTTTTGTAGTCTATATCTGTTATGTTCGTAAAAGAAAGCAGCCTGTATCTCAAAAACTAGTCAACAACAAAAAAAATTACAGCTCAAAAACAAAATTCCGGTTTTTTTGAGCCCACCCTATATATTATTAAATTCCTTGTTATTTTACAAAAAAAAACAAAAACAAATAAAAATAGGTCATATACAGTGTGTTATTTAAAAATGTGAAACCTGGCCTTCTTTTTGGATTTTTTGATGTTCCACAACTATAAAAATAGTGAAAAAGATGTTCTCCTAAATTAAAATTAGTGTCTGAGGTTTTTCGAAAAATATTCACCCTTTTATAGTTTTTATCTGCTAAATTACGAACGTACAGTATAATCTATATTAATATAACAATATTAATTATTATATTTTGCACTTATATACTCATGTTTTAAAATTTCAATGCCCTAAAATAATTATCTACAAGATGGTAATAGTAAATAGGCTTATCTAATACCGAGGGTAAGTAACACTCAATAAAACGCACATCCATGCAACCACGGGTGTTACATTTAAAAAACCGAACCGTTGTGGAACGGATTGCCGAATGCTAAACAGGGTGTTACTTACCTCCATGCGACCGGCATCGCTAACCAAGACTCTTGGCTTATAATGAAGATATTTATCATACTGAGAGCGTAAGTAGTGCAATTGATTGTATTAATATCCAATATTGATGATACTATTGATCAATTGAATAACTTAAATTTGCGAACAGATAATTTATCAGCTTCAACTGACTCTGCTTCTGAATCTGAAGAAGTAATTAGAAAAATCAATCAAGCTTTAAATAATACAGGAAATAGTGCTGGAGGCAGAGTAGAATTGATAATAATCAACAAAGCTCTGTAAACAGTAATATATCGATAATGGCTACTTCATTCATACCCGAATATTTAAATTGTGTGCCGACCTTTGACGGCAATCCATATGACTTAAACAGATATTTGGCAGTTTGTTCAGAGTCTATCAATAGTATTTCAACAATCATCGCATCGACGATCCCAGCATCGCGAATTTTCAACTTACAAGGATTCAAAAAATTAAAATTTTATCAAATTGTTGCAAGTTAGGATCGTTTACAATAACGGTTTCTTTGAAACGCCTCATACACGAATCAAGTTATTTTCCCATAAAACACGACCGGAGATACATATACATAATATTACAATATCAACTCGCTGTTCCCAAGTAGCGAAATTAAAGACCGAACAAAAAGGCGAAGTTATAATAATACCTTACCAGACAATTCATAACTGTGAAATTCCTAGTTGTCTGACGATTGCAAAAAACGGTTAAGCATTAGCAACTGTTTCAAATATTACATGCCAATCGATAACACTGGATATATCAGAACTATTTAAAGTAGAAAATTTTTATTACAAAAATTTCGAAAACATCGAACTTAATAATTTCGATAATAATTGTCCACAATCCAAATCCGAATCTTCTCAAATTCATACTGACCACCTAAACTAGGAAGAAAAAGTGCTATATTGAATTCATACAAAGAATATTCAGATATTTTCCATCGTGAAAACACGACTCTAACATTCATTAGCAACATTAAACATTCAATTAGAACCTTTGATGAACGCCTTGTGTATACGAAGTCTTATAGGTACCCGTTCATACATAAAAAAGCAGTAGAAGCACAAATTAATAAGATAATTTATCACCTTCAACTGACTGCTTCTCAATCTGAAGAAGTAATTAGAATAATCAATCAAACTTTAAATAATACAGGAAATAGTGCTGACGGCAGAGAATCGATAATTGACAATAATCATCAACAAAACTCTGTAAACAGTAATATGTATATTGATAATGGATAATGGCTACCTGCTTCATTTGAACCCGAATAATTAAATTATGTGCCGACCTTTGACAATCCAATCCAAATGACTTAAACCGTAGAGCAGGTAAAGCGCTCATCAAAAAATTATAAGACCAAGTATTTCACCATGGTCCTCGTTAATTTGGGTAGTGGCAAAGAAAATGGATGCTTCGGGGGTACAAAAATGGAGAATAGAGGCTGACGCTCAAAGGAGCGCAGCGCACGAAAGCGCGGCGTAGAGGACTTTTTATAATACATTGTTTTAAACGGGAGTATGCCGATCGGTACTTTTCCGACAAGTGAGCGTACTTTCGTTTAAAACAGTGTATTTAAAAAGTCCTCTTCGCCGCGCTGCCGTGCGCTGCGCTCCAGTTAGCGACAACCTTAGTGATCGACTATCGCACACTAAACGTGAAAACTATAGACGACAAATATCCCCTTCCTAACATCACTGATCTTCTCGACAGAATTGGTAAATGCCATTATTCTAGCACACTGAACCTAACTAGCGGCTTCCACCAAATTGAAAGGGAAAAAGCCGATATACCCAAGACAGCTTTCAATACAGTGAATGGCCACTACGAGTTTACTTGCATGCCATTCGGATTGAAAGATGCACCCACGACCTTTCAAAAGGTCACGGACAACATTCGTCGCAAACTCCAAAACGAACAATGCTTGGTATATCTTCTAGACGATATGATATTATTCCCTATATTACTACAAGAACACCTAGATCGACTGAGGGCAGTTTTCGAAAAACTACGTTATTGGAATTTCAAAATCCAGTTGGACAAGAGTGAATTTCTGAGAAGAGAAGTTGCATACCTAGGTCACGTAGTGACACCAGACGGCGTGAAGCCAAACCCGGAAAAAATCGAAACTAATAAAAAATATCCATTACCTTCTACTACAAAGCAAATAAAAGGGTTTCTAGGTCTTCTCGGATACTACAGACGGTTTATAAAAAAAATTGCCAAGGTCACTAAATCTCTAACTAGATGTCTGAAAAAGGGTGTAAAAATCAAACATAATACTGAATTCGTTGAATACTTCGAAGCATGTAAAAACCTCTTAATCAACGAACCCATCCTTCAGTATCCCGATTTTTCATTCAATTTGACATGCGACGCATCCAATGTAGCTTTGGGCGCTTGTGCTCTCGCAAGGCCCCATCGGCCAAGACCTGCCTGTAGCATACGCCTCGCGCACACTCAAATAGAGATTAAACATATCCTTTTGCGTAGACGTAAACATAGGTTTTGAACATACGCATGCGCAAAACATCAAATTCGAGTTCACGTACGCATGGGTTCCGTGAGCTAACGTATCGTTGCGTACGGGTCAAACGTGAACCATATCGGGCAGAATACGAAAATCGAGAGCCAGTTTGTACGGGAAAGAGAAACATAATTAAATAAAAACAAACAAATAAAACATTAGGTAAATTATGCGCCTGATCTCCATCTCCATCTACCCTGGGTATGAAGAACTACAACGTCATCCATATGCCATCACCAATCATCCATCATCCAATTCTTCAATAGCGACTGCCAAGAGTAGTTACTTCTTCCATTCTTTTTTGAATTTTTATACCTACACGTTATATCGCGTGTGTAAAAATTCGTGAAAAAAAATCAAACCTCGCTCCTTGGATAATAATAATCATAACATAACCCCATATGCAAAATTCAAAACGAATACTCAGTACAGCCTCGGCGATACGTTTCCTCTCACGTATTTTCGTGTTTAAACTGAAGTAGTTTACGCGTTCCGTACGCGTGCATAAATCTACGTTTACGTCGACGCAGAACTTCTCGTTAGCGATACTTGTTCAATATCTCTATGACTCAGAGCGTAGCTATTCCACCATTGAGAAAGAGTGTCTCATATGGGCCACTAAATACTCCAGGTCATA